GTGGATAATCAGCTGAACGGGAGCCCCCAGTGTGAAGCTGTGGCCAAAAGAAGTCATGCGATCCTGGGATGCATAAACGGGGATCTTGAGTAGGAGCAGAGAGGTTATTTTACCTCTGTATTTATCCCTGGTGCGTCTGCTGCTGTGTCCAGTGCTGGATGTATGCCAGCCTGGGACATCGCTCCCTTCCTCCCACTAACCTCAATAGTGTCCCCCAGACTCCCCTGAACCCCCCATTCACCCTGCGGGATCTGCCATTTCCTTCGCTGCCCCTGACAGCCCTCTCTGTCTCCCCTGCAGACGGGACGGGGATGCTTGGCCGGATCCTTTTTGCCTGGATGAAAGGGTGAGTGGCACACCCCATGGAGGGGGAGGTTTCTGGGTCACCAGTGCTGGTGAGGTTATCTCCCCTCGTGACCTCTTCTCTCCCTCCCCCCAGGAGCAAACTGGACTGTGACGCCAAGCAGTGGAGGTGAGTGAGGAAAGGACCCACCCCCCCCTTTCCCCAGGACATCCCTCCCACAACCCCTCATCCCTGGGGCGCCCTTCACCCCGACAGCCTGGGATGCCCCTCATCCTGATATCCCCATGGCAGATCCCCACTTGCTGACCATTACATGATCTTTGACCTCTGAAACTTAAATGCATTGGTCTTGTCCTCTGCACGTGATTGGACAATCTTCATCTTCTGACCGTCCATTGTGCAACACTTGCCTTGTGACTGCACGGTGTGACCTTTGCCCTCTGACCCCCATTGAGTGAACCTCGACTTTTGACATTTGTTGAGCGATACTTGACCTTTGACCTCAACCCCTTGGTGACCTTCACTCTTTGAACCTCATGGTGCAATTCTCAACCTCATAGCCTGTTGAGTGCCCTCTGACCTCCCTCATGACCTCTAACCCTTCACTCCTGACCATCAGCAGGCAATCATGAACCTCTGACCCCTGTTTAGTGCCCAGTGTCCTCTGAACCCCATTGAGTGACACGTGAGCTCTAACCCTGCAATGCCCCACCACTCTTGCCCCTTGTGTCCTGCAGGCTCTTTGCAGATGGGCTCAATGACCTGGCCATCTTCATGGAGATCTTGGCCCCTGCCTTCCCAGCATGCTTCACTCTCATCGTCTGCACCAGCGGCTTCTTCAAGGTAGCGGGGAGTGGGTTGGCATGAGGGGGTTTGGCGTGTGGGGTGAGGGGATTGATGCAAGGGGTTGACTTTGGGAGTTGGTGGGGGGATTGGCCTGAGGGGAAGAGGGTTGGTTCAGGGGAGGGGGCTGGTGTGATGTGGGTGAGGGGTTGATGGGAGGGGTTGGCATTGGGGGATTGGGGGATTGGGGCATTGGCACAGGGGGAGGGGTTGGCACGGGGTGATTGGTAGGGGGTTGGCGCTGGGGCAAAGGATTGGCAGAGGAGCAGGGGATGGCATCAGAGCCGCGTGGACGGCAGAAGTTCCATTTCACGAAGGAGTTTGTGCTTTTGAAATTTGGCTGCATTCTCCATCAGAGCAAAACCTGACCGTTTCGATATTCTCCACGACGGAAAATTCCAGAAAACCTTCATTGCAGCTCCTTGGAAACATTTTCCTTCATTGTCACCTCTTTATACTATATAACACAGCATGAACCCCATAGTGGGGTCGATGCACTAGAGAGTTCTATGGCCATCGATACCAAAACAAAATAAAAACAAACAGTATTTTCTAAATCAAGAGTCGGGACATTGTCGGAACATTTTTGTCCCTGTTTTCTTTTTTTCCCCCCGATGAAATTCGTCTGGAGCCGCCCTGATTTCATGGGAACCTCATATTCCCATGGGATACGGCTCTGTCTTAAGTCTTTCCCACCGACTCTCGTTGGCATGAGTCCTGCACCCCACACCCGAACCCCTCTCCTCTCTCTCTGCCCCAGTGCATCGTGGGAGTAGCCGGAGGCGCCACCCGGGCAGCCCTCACCATGCACCAGGCCCGTCGGGACAACATGGCGGACGTTTCGGCCAAGGATGGGAGCCAGGTGGGATCCTGCTGGGGCCAATGTTAAGGGGCACTCCACAGTGCAGCAGGTGGGGGCGCTCCAGGGGGCAGAGGGGACAGACTCTCCCAGAATGCAGCAGGGCGGAAATGCCCGGGGCGGTGGGGGTTGTACCCCACCTCTGCAGATGCCCTCACTCACTCCTCTCCCCCCCAGGAGACCCTGGTGAATTTAGCCGGCCTGCTCGTTAGCCTCCTCCTCATCCCCCTTGTCACCGACAAGCTCCAGTGAGTGACCCCAAGGGCAGGGATAGCACAAGTGTTGGGGAGTGGGAGGGTCAGGGGATTGTGGGAGGCGGGGGGTGCAGAGGATTGTGGGAAGGATTGTGGGGGATTATGGGAGGTGGGAGGCAAAAGGAATTGTGGGAAGGGTTGTGGCAGGCAGAGGGGATTGTGGGGGATTGTGGGTCTGGCTGGGCCTGCCCCTGTCTCTGCCCTCCCCCACAGGCTCACCTACGCCCTCTATGGCCTGTTCACGGCTCTACACCTCTACGCCAACTACCGGGCCGTGCGCGCCGTCTGCATGGAGACGCTCAACCGGGCCCGGCTGCGCCTCGCCCTGCGCCACTTCCTGTGCCAGGGCTGGGTGCCCACGCCCACCCATGCCAACCCACGGGAACCCCTGCTGCCAGGTGACCACGGGGGAAAGAGGATACAGGGGGAGAGGGGAAGAGGAGAACCCCAGCATGGGCAGATGCAGAGAGACCAATTCTCCCGAGAGGGGAAAGGCCCCATGTCCCATTCCCTGCCCCCCTAAGCCAGCCAGTCCCCCCACCCTTGGGCGGGATTGGAGCCAGTGCCCCAGATAGGGGAAAGGCCCGTGTCCCATTTCCCCCCATACCCAACTGACTAGACTCTTTGCTCCTCACCTGTCCACAGAATTCCAGCAGCATCTCAGGATAACTCTAGGAGCCCCACTCCACCTGCTGGTCTCCAGGTGAGTAACAGATTTAACTTGTCCCTCATCCCTCCCCAGGGATTGGCCCCTCGGCCCAGCCAGCACAAGTCTCTAGGGAGACCTCTCGACACATTTATTCTAGTTGCGGTTCCTGCTCATAGAAACCTGTGTGTCTTTGGTGGATCTTCTCCCTGTAACATCTTGTGGCGGGGAGTTCCAGAGGCTAAACATGTCTGGTCCATTCATAGTGAGCATCTCCTTCTTTGCAAAAACAACAAGGAGCCCGGTGTCACCTTAAAGACTAACACATTTCTTTGGGCATAAGCTTTTGAGGGTAAAAAACCTCACTTCTTCTTTGCGTATTCTTTCCCTCTGTCTATCCCACAGCGTAGCTGAGTTCCAGCAGGCCTGTGAGGGCAACTTGAGGAACTATCTAATCGCTCTGAACCGAAAAGCTGGTGAGGAGGGACCGGGAGGAGGAATGAGACCCAGGTGTCTGGGATGGCAGCCATAGGGGGCAGAGACCAAGAAGGGAAATGGGACCCTGGTGCCTGGCACGGCAGCCGTAGGAGACTGGGGAGGGAAATGGGACACAAGCGTCTGGGATGGCGGTGTGGTGAGATGGTGCGGGACACCCTGCTGTGTCCTTCTCCCCACAGGCACCGTGGCTGTGGCCCTGCGCCATGGGGCGAGCAGTGTGGACACCATCCAGGCCTGTTCCCACGCCCTGCTGCTGGAGACCCTGCTGTGCCAGGCCCTGCCCCCAGGTGCCGTGGAGGAAGAGATGCTACAGAAGCTGCAAAGGCAGCTGTGTGGAGGTGAGGGGCGGGGTGACCAGACACCCCCTGTGCCTGATCCTGTGGGGGGAGGAGGGGGGCTCATCTAGGGGTTTCCCAGCACCTACCCTTCATCCACAGCCAGCTCTGTTGTGTCTTTCAGCCCCTGACGGAGAGGTCTGGGCTGTGCTGACGGAAACTCACCAGCTGCTGGACAGGCTGTTCCCACGGTTCCTAGCAGGTAACTGGGAGCACCCCTATTGCTCCTCTCTGGGGAGAGCGCCCCCTGCTGGGGAACATCCCCACCCCCTGCACTCAGCCCCGGCCCTTCCCTGTGTCCCCCTGCCTGGGGAGAGCGCCCCCTGCTGGGGAACATCCCCACCCCTTGCACTCCCAGTCCTGGTCCCACCCCTTGCAGGGCCCCGGGCCCTGGGAAGAGCACCCTGTGCTGTGGAGACCCCACCCCCCATGCTCTCGGCGCATGGGTCTTCCCCATTGGCCCCCGCCCTGGGGAGATTGGAGAGAGACCCCCACCCACTGCATTTCCAGCCCTGGGGTCAGGGCCGGCTCCAGGGTTTTGGCCGCCCCAAGCAGCCACAAAAAAAAAAAAGCCGCGATCGCGATCTGCGACGGCAATTCGGCGGAAGGTCCTTCACTCCCAGGCGGAGTGAGGGACCGTCTGCCAAATTGCTGCCGAATAGCTGGACCTGCCGCCCCTGTCCGGAGTGGCCGCCCCAAGCACCAGCTTGCCAAGCTGGTGCCTGGAGCCGGCCCTGCCTGGGGTGTCCCCTGTCCCATGGAGAGCGCCCCCTGTTGGGGAAACACACACACCATCTCCTGGCCCTGGGCTGGACTGTCTCTTGCAGGGCTGGTCTCGGCAGGCTGGGTCACGGATCGGAACCTGCTTGGAGCAGAGGAATGGCGTCTGGATTGGACCCCAAAGGACAAGAAAGTCCTGTAGACCTGACCCCTCCCCAGCAACCCCAACGAGACCAAAACGTTCTGTGCCTTAGCGGGCTCACCCCAGTGAGTTGACTGGGACCAGTGACTGAAGGATGCAGATTCGATCCAGCTCCATGTGGGACCAGTTACACACACTGTGAATCCAACGTGCTCTGCACCCCTGTACTGCTGGGAATAAAGATTTTATATATAGACATAGACATGGGGCTTTTCCCTGCTAGGGGGCACAGCTGAGATGCAGCCACCTCTTGGTTGGGGTGCAGGGGCTGTTTATACGGCGATCTCTCACCCAGCACTGAGATGCAGCCACCTCTGGTGCAGGGTGTGGGGACTGTTTATACGGGGATCCCTTTTCTGGCGTTGTGTTGCAGCTCCCTCTGAGGTGAAGTTCGGGGGCTGTTTATACAGGGGTCCCTTGCCTGGCACTGAGATGCAGCCACCTCCAGGGTGGGGCACAGGGGCTGTTTATACAGGGATCCCTCGCCTGGGCTTAGATGCAGCCGTATCTGGGGCATAGTTCAAGCCCCTACTGTTTGCAATCCCACCGTGTGTGCGTGGCCAGGTGATGTCACGGTCCTGCTGTGTGGGGTGATGATGAGACCATAGGCTTGTGCGGAGCCAATTTCATGAGGGAGGGCCCGGCCCCTCCGTGCAAGTCTTGTGATTCATTGTGCACATGTCGTGTGATGGCCATCGCTGAGCACTGGCGAGGTGGCAGAGACGGATCCCAGCCAGCAACATCCTTGCTCCCAGTGAGTGTGTCTGGGTTGGCTTCGCCCTGTGTGTGTGTGTGGTGATTTGTGTGTTGTTGTCATTCTCTGTGTGTATGTTATTCTCTGTACCCTTGTAGTGGGTGTGATTTTGTGTTAGTGTCATTCAGTGTTTTTCTGTGTGTGTGTGTGTGTTTGTGATTGTGTTAGTGTTCTGTGTGTGTGTGCAATTTTGTGTTTGTGTGAATGTTACCCTCTATTGTTATAGTGTGTGTGATTGTGTGTTAGGAGTAGTTTCTGTACCCTCGTGTGTGTGATTGTATGTCAGTGTGTGTGTGTGTGTGTCTTGTTCTGCATGCCCTTGTGTGTGACTGTGTGTCACTGTCATTCTGTGTGCCATATTGTAGGAGGCTGCTGGGGGGTGTCTGTGCTGAGTTGTGGGGTGTGTGTGCGTATGCATGCACCAGCATCAGTAGATATCAGCTGTCTGAGAGTCGCTGTCCTGCTATCAGTGTGTGCGTGTGTGCATGTTGCAGGGTGTGGGTCATTGTGTCAAATGTGTGTGTTGTATCTGTGCCGGTTGTACCGTCTGCTGTTAGCGAGTGTGTTTCAGAGTAGCAGCCGTGTTAGTCTGTATCCGCAAAAAGAACAGGAGTACTTGTGGCACCTTAGAGACTAACAAATTTATTAGAGCATAAGCTTTCGTGGACTACAGCCCACTTCTTCGGATTTGTTTCCTGTGTGTATAAACAGTAGGGTGTGTCACTCAGGGCAGGTGTGTGTTACGTTATTAATGCATGTGGGGGGGTGTCCTGTTCCATGTGTGTGGGACCCAAAGGCCAGGAGTCTCTCTCCCAGCCACTGTGCGTCAGTGGGTATGTGTATATTTGTGCATGTTTCCTCTGTGTGTGAGTGGATGGCTGTGGCTGTAGGTTTTCAGGAGTCACACCCCACCCTCAGCTGCTGTGTGTTATGTGTGTGTATGTCTCTGTGTGTGTTACACTATGTTATAGTCTGTGTGTACATGACACTGTGTCTATGCATGTGTGTGACGTGTGTTACACTGTGCTACACTGCGACACTGCATGTTACACATAGACATAGTGTGTGTGAATTACACTGCGCTCTGAGTGTGATACAATAAACTGTATGTGTTTTTCCCTGTGTATGTATTAAATTTGTGTGTGCAACTGTTACACACAGACACACACAAAGAGTATCTCGGTGTGTGTGTGACATTGTGCTGTGTGTGTGATGCGGTTACGCTTTCTGTGTTACACTTAGTGTTTTACACTGGTTTAGGCTCTCTTTGTGTGTTACACCCTATGTGTTTTACATTTGTATGTGCAACACTTTTGCTGTGTGTCTATCAGAGTGTGTGTTATACTGCTATGCTCTGTGTGACACTGTGTGTTACGCTCTGTGTGTTACACTGTGCCTGTGCAGAACATTGTTCTGCTCTGTGTGTATGACACCGTGTATCTGTGTGTTTGTGTTATGCTGTGTGTAACTGTGTGGTCTCGGGGAGTGGGCTGGCTCTGTCTTGGGGCTGCTGTCTGGCCGCATGGCAGCCCCGAGCCTGGGCACTGCTCTCCTGATGGGCGTGGGGGACCCAGCCTGACTTTGGGGGATGTCCCTGGGGCAATGACTCCCCTTTGCCCCAGGCTGGGATCTCCCAGGCAAAGGCAGGCTGTGGAGAGCATCTCATAATTCCCAGGGGTGAGCGCCCAGTGCCTGGGTCCCATTCCCTGTCCCGGTTTCTCCCCCAGGGGTGAGCCGTGGTGTGTGCATGGTGCTGTACGTGTCCCCCCAGGATGGCCATCCCCAGGCTTTCCCTGCGGCGCCATCTACCCCGGATACCTGGCCATGCCCTGCGGCTCCGCTCCTGGCAGATTCTCAAGCCCTTCACCCATGCTGGGCTGCAGCCCACCAGCAAGGTCAGGGCATGGGGGGTAGAGAAGGGGCCAGCGAGGGGGAGGAACTGGGGAGAAGGGGGACAGAAGAAGGGATGGGAGGGATCTGGGGTGGGAGGGGAGGAGTGGGTGGAGGGGGTATATAGGGGGCTCTATGGGGCGAGTGCCCCCTGCTGACTCTCCCCGCTGCAGGCCTTGTACTGCTGCGCCCCCACCCGGCTGCTCTCGCGACTCTGGGGGGTGCTGACAGGGCTGGCGCTGCCCCACTGGCTGCGACGCCCCCTGCTGGCGCTCTACGTCTGGGCCTTCTCCGTCAACATGGCCGAGGCGGCTGAGGAAGATCTGAGTGGCTACCGCAGCCTTGGGGAGCTCTTCCGGCGCCCGCTCAAGCCCTGGGTGCGTCCCATCGCACCCTATGACATGGTATGTCCTGCTCTGTCCCCCCCATTGCCCTCCCATGACATGGTATGTCCTGCCTTGCCCCCCCATTGCCCTCCCATGGCATGGTACGTCCTGGTCTGTACCCCCACATTGCCCTTCCATGGCATGGTATTTCCCGGTCTGCCCCCATTGTTCTTCCATGGCATGGGATGTCCTGCTCTGTTCTCTCCCCTGCCCCCATTGCTCTTCCATGGCATGGGATGTTGTGCCCTGGACCCCCATGACATGGTAGGTGACGGTCCTTCCCATTGTTCTCCCATGGCATGGTATGTTCCACCCTGCCACCCCATTGCCCTCCCATGACATGGTATATCTTGCCCGGCCCCTTCATTGCCTTCCCATGTCATGGCAGGTCCCCCCCTTCCCCAGCAAAGCTCCTCATGGGATGGTATGTTCAATCCCACCCCTCCACGTTACCGTTACCTTCCACTCCTGCACCCCCTACAATATGATCGGTTGCATTTTGTTCTCCCCTCACCATGGCATGGTATGTCCCACCCCTCCTGCACAAATTATGGTATGTCCCATCCCCCCTCCACATGGTATGTCTCATTCTCCCCTCCCCCCTGTGCCCCATATCATGGGTCTTCCCTTCCCATGAAACCCCTTTGACATGGTATGTCCCGATGCCCACAGTGACAATACACATGCACATCCCTCCCTGAGGCCAGGCTCCCCAGGGTCCCAGACCTCCCCGCCTGCCTTGGCCCGCGTGTGCCCAGCAGCGCTGCGAGCTCAACATGGCTGTGCCAGCAGCGGCACATGAGCCTCCCTCACATGTGAGACACAAGCACATTCCCCAGGGCTCCGGGCCTGGTGCTTTCACAGCCTGGCTTTTCACGAGAGCTTTGCACTGTCTGTGCACGGGACGGCACGGGCCCTCCCCAGAGCCCTGCCCCTGCCTTCCCAGGGCGCTGCTCCCTGGGGTTTGGGAGCGCCCCCATCTTTGCACAGCTGGCACAGGTGTGATCACCCTGGCCTGCCCTCGTGAATCCCCGTGTGAGGCCATCCCCGCTTCTCATCCTGTCCCGGCTGGTTGTAGGTCAGCCCGGCAGATGGCTGCATCGTGCACCTGGGCCGGGTGCGGAGGAGCCGCCTGGAGCAGGTGAAGGGGGTGACGTACTCCCTGGAGAGCTTCCTCGGGCCCCAGGACTGGAGGGAAGATGTGGGTGAGCGAGGGGTTGGGGGTGGGCTGATGTGGGGGTTGGGCTTAGGATCCAATCCAGGGGGGGTGGCTGGGATAGATCCCAGGGGCCAATCTGGGGGCCAAAGGGGCCACGCTGGGGGGGACAATCCGTGTGTGTGTGTGTGTGTCCCAATCCAAGGCAGGTGCAGATTAACCCTTTGCTGTCCGTCTCTCTTCCCCAGGCCGGGATCTCTCCCCATGGTGGCGCCGGGGGCACCAGCTCTATCAGTGCATCATCTATCTGGCGCCGGGTGACTACCACCGCTTCCATTCACCCACCGACTGGCACATCCGGCACCGCCGGCACTTTCCAGGTACGGCACAGCCAAGGGGGGGAGCAGGCTGCGGAGGCGGGGGGCCTGGACCCGATTGTCACTCACGCTGGGGTCTCCTCTTCCCTCCCATCTGTCTGCCTGCCCTGCCCTGTGCCCGTCCGTGGCAGGCTCCCTGATGTCGGTGAGCCCGAGTGTGGTGCGCTGGATCCCGGGGTTGTTCTGCCACAACGAGCGGGTGGTGCTGAGCGGGGATTGGGCTCACGGCTTCTTCTCCCTGACTGCCGTGGGGGCCACCAACGTGGGCTCCATCCGCATCTACTGCGACCAGGTGGGGCTGGGGGCAGAGAGAACTGGGAGCCCTGGAGAGGGGGACAACCCTCTGCTGTCCTGATGGGGTCCCTGGTGAGCGTGTGTGCTTGTGGGGTCCGCACGCGGGGGGAGTCCTGGTGAGCACGCACAGGCTCATGGGATTGCATGTGGGGGGGCCCTGGCAAGTGTGCACACACTTTCACGATCAGATGTGGGGGGTCCTGGTGAGCGTGCACATGCTCGCACGGTCAGATGTGGGGGAGGCCCTGGTGAGTATGTGTGTGCTTGTGGAATCTCACGTGAGGGGTCCCTGGTGCGTGCACACGCATTTGTGGGATCAGACAGGGGGGCCCTGGTAAGTGTGCGTGCACTTGTACGATCGCATATGGGGGGCCTCCCAGTGAGCATGTGCGCCCATGGGATTGCATGTGGGGGGGCCTGGTGAGCGCATGCTCTGGTGGGATTGCACGTGGGGGGGGGCTAGTGAGCACTTGCTCCCGTGGGATCGCATGTGGGGGGTGGGTGAGCGCACAGTCACATGGCTCTTGCGAGCCAGAGCAGACGTGGAGCAAGGGGATACCTGTCACCATGGTAACCACAGCCCCCTTTCTCTCCGGCAGGACCTTCACACCAATTGCGCCCGCCACGTGCAGGGCTGCTACCACGACCTCAGCTACTTGGCTTGGGCAGGGCCAGCCGGGGTCCCCACCCCCAAGGGAGCTGGCCTAGGCGAGTTCAACCTGGGCTCCACCATCGTCCTTCTCTTCCAGGGGCCCCGGCGCTTTGGCTTCCGCACCAGTGCTGGGTGCAGGGTGCGGGTGGGGCAGGCGCTGGGCAGCCTGTGACGCGGCGGGCAGAGGAGCAGGCCCCCATTTCAGGGCGGGACCCCGATTTCCTGGGGAGATTGGAGAACCCCTTCACTGCCATGGGGGAGATACCCCAGATTCGGTGGAGTACAGGGAAGTGACACTAGACTTGTGGGAGAAGGGAAGCCCCCATTTCAGATGGGAGAATTGGACCCCTCTTTACTGGGGGGAAGGGAGGGGTCCCCCATTCCAATAGCCCCTCCAGCTTTTTGCTGAGGAATGTGGGGGGCTTTGACACCCCTTAAGAATCATGGAGGAAACATAGGAGTGACCCTGATCTTAGCAGGAGATGGGATTTTTGGAGGCGGGAGCACGAGGAACCGTACATTCAAGAGGGGGACAGAGAGCCCCCCCATACTAGGAGAAGGGACCCCACTTTCCAGGGAGGGAATATGGGGTGAATCTGTGGCCCCCCACCTTTAATTCCAATGGGGGTAAAAAGAGGATACTTGGTTTTAAGTGTGGGGGGGTCCCAAATTCAGCGGGGCGGCATGGGGGTGAGACCAAGGCCCCTCCCTTAATTCCAACGGGGGATGATGTGAATGGCTCAGGGGAGCTCCTTCCCAGATCCTTTGGGGTTGAAATGTGGGGGGAACTTTTGTACCATCCTCTCTGTCCCTCACCCCCCGGCCCATAAAGCAGTCTGAGCACCAGGGGGCAGAATAACTCTGAAATAGAGCTTTCTATTTTCATATACAGCCTGTTTGTGTGCATTTGCGGTGGGAGACGGACCTGGAGCCTTTCCCCTCTAGGGGGCGCTGGCTCTGATCCGGCCCTGGGCTAGGGGATTGGCTGGCTTAGGGAGTGGGGCACAGGACCTGGGGCCTTTCCCCTCTAGGGAGTGCTGGCTCCGATCTGGCCCTGGGCTAGGGGATTGGCTGGCTTAGGGGGTGGGGAACGGGACCTGGGGTCTTTCCCCTCTAGGGGGCGCTGGCTCTGATCTGGCTCTGGGCAAGGGGATTGGCTGGCTTAGGGGGTGGGGAACGGGACCTGGGGCCTTTCCCCTCTAGGGGGCGCTGGCTCTGATCTGGCTCTGGGCAAGGGGATTGGCTGGTTTAGGGGGTGGGGAACGGGACCTGGGGCCTTTCCCCTCTAGGGGGCGCTGGCTCTGATCTGGCTCTGGGCTAGGGGATTTGCTGGCTTAGGGGGTGGGGAACGGGACCTGGGGCCTTTCCCCTCTAGGGGGC